AGGTAGTAGTAGTAGTAGTAGCAGTACTAGTAGTTATGGTGGTAATGGCAGTAGTAGTAGCTGCAGTAAGTAACAAGTTGTTGTAGTTGTATCATTATATTATACACGTTGTTACTTGTTGATATCGCTATTATCATTTTCATTATCATTATCATTTGTGGAAGTAGTAGCTGCAGTAGTAACAGTTGTTGTATTATATATTATCTATTTGTTATCTGTTACTTCATTCGTTGATTATCGCTATTATCATTTTCATTATCAATCATCATTTGTCCGAAAGTAGTACTGCAGTAGGTTAAGCTTGTTGTAGTTGTTATCATACTATTATCATTGTTATGTTATTGTGATATCGCTATTATTCACTATTCATTTAATATATTTATCATTTTTGTGGAAATTTCACTCATGGGTCGTGAAGCAAAGTTGGCTATCTAGGAACAGCGAAGGTGAAGACATGCATTCTCTTCCTTTCGTTGTTCCAGGTTGCAAATTGTCTTCATTATTTACTAGCATAATTATCAATCATTCTTGATTTAAACATTCTCCTCTGTCCTCTGTTTTCATTCTCTCTCTCTCCTATCTCACTCTTCTTCCTCTTCTCTTCTCCTCTCTTTTCCTCATCCTCTCTCTACTCTTCTCTCTTCTTCTCGTCCTTCCTCTTTCTTCTTCCTCGTTTCTTCTTTTCTGTTTTCCTTGTTCCGTTTTTTTGTTTTTTCTTTTTTTCGTATTCTTTTATCTCTTTTTTTTACCTCTTTCTCTCTTTTCTTCTCATATTATATTGCACTAGATAATACACATCCACGTACAAATATAATCAAATTGATGGGGCAAAAGGGAAAAAAATGAAACTGACAACAAAATAATAAATAATTGCTATCAAGAAAACATGCTTAAAGTAAGCGTTTCTTTCTTCTTGATACCTCTTTTCTTTTTAATCTATCTATCTACATCTATTATTATATTTCTCGCTTTAATCTATCTATCTATCTATCTATCGCCGTCGCTTTCCTTCTCTCCTTTCTCTTCTTCTCTCTCTTTCTTCTCTTCTCTCTCTCTCTATATGTAGATATATATATAATATATATATAGTAATTACCTATATATATCTCGCTCTCCTCTCTCTCTCTCTCTCCTCTCTCGCTCGTTCCTCCTCTCTTCCCTCCTCTCCTCTCTCTCTCTCCTCTCTCTCCTCTCCGTCTCTCTTCTCGTCGTCTCTCTCTACTCATCGCGTTCCGATCATCAGTTCCTCTCTACGGAAGAGCACAGTTCGCTTCACACTAGACATTCCCCGCCGCCCTCTCCGCTCCTCTCTTTTCCTCTTTCTTCTCCTCTCTACTCGATTCGGATCTTCTCTTCGTCTGTTCGTCTCTCATCTCTCCGTCCCTCTCTCTCTTCATCTCACCTGCTTCTTCTTCTCTCTTCACTTTCTCTTCTCGTCACTCTCTTTCTCTTTAATCCCTTATTTCTCTCTCTCTCTCTCTCTTACTCCCTCGTCTCAAGTACGCCCGCGATATTTTATCCCTGTTTAATACCCATGGATTACTATTGCGTTGCTGCAATATATTAGTTTATTCATGTTCATTACTGTGTTATTGCTGAGACCATTCATTTATTCGAAGAGAGACGTGTATAAAATCATATTCATTTTCATTTATATTTACTGCCATTGTATTGTGTTCAGATATGACTGCGAATATCTATGGTATATTTTCATTTGTGTTTATGCACGTACACTCGCAGACAGACACGTACACAATCTCTTTCATTTTCTTTCCTTTCTTTTCATTACTTTCCCTTTCGTTTTTGGTTTTATTTTTCAATTCTCTTCTTCCTTCCCTTTTGTCTTTGCCCTTTCTTCTTTCCCTTACCTTTTGTTTAATTTTTGTTCTCCTTGCTACTTCACTTTCAAGTTTATCAATCAATTTCTCTTCCCTTTCTCTTCCCCCTTATCTCTCTGCTTCTCTTTCTCTTTCTCTTTTCCTTTGTCTTTCCTGTTCTCTCTCCCTTGTCGTTCCGTACATTTTCCTTCTGTTTCCTTTCTACACCCCTTTCGCTTTTCTCTTTCATCTACCCCTTTCCCTTTCCATATCCTTGTTCCTTCTTGGGCTTAATCACTTCCCACTTTTTATCCAGTGTCTCAATTCCATTTTTATTTCGCCTTTCTGTCTCATCATCCTCGTTTACGATGTTTTTAATTAAGTGATTTTTTTCTTTCTTTCCTTCCCTCTCCCCTCGTTCTTCTATACCTCTTTCCATTTATTTTTATATCTATCGCTCTGTCTGTCTTTTTGTATGTTTATCACCATTTTTCTCCCATTCTGTGAGCGTATGTATGTATCAGTCTGTGTCTTTTGGCTGTCTCTGTCTATCTGTCTCTTTCTCTCTTTCTTCTTCCTATCTTTCTTTCTCCCTTTCGCTCTCTCCCTCGGCTTGTTTTCCTCCCCTTCTCGCACAGTCGATCTACATGTAAATAAATGGCATTAGTGCAGCCTGGCCACGTCTGTGCTGGGTCACCTTCCTCCCTCACTCACCTGTGTGTGTACGTAGGTGTGTGTGTGTTTGTTATAATTACATTCACATACGCTTTCACACACATACTCACACTTTTCAATAACATACTCACAATATACACTTTCACAACACACACAGATAATCAACAGAACGCATACAAACAACAACAAACAAGCACATTCACAATACACACACATACAAACACACACACACAACAAAAAAAACACACACCGCATACAACACGAACAACAAACACACACACTCAAAACAACACACACACAAACAAACAAACAAACAAACAGATGCACACACAAACACACACATATAACCCAACACACCCAACAACACAAACACACACACACACACAACACAAAACACACACACACACACACACACACACACACAACACACACACACACACCACACACACACCAACACACCCACCCACACTCAACACAACACACACACAAACACACAAACACCACAAACACCCCACCCAACACACCAACAACACAACACACACATTCACAGAGACGTGTGTACGTTGTAAATATCTGAAATCTGTACCAGTGATTTCCATTTTCCCTTTTGCGTTCCGTTACAGGTTTTAACATCTGGTGTATTTAGCAGATTGGGTCAAGAGGGCTGCGTGATCGTGTTCGGAAATTATTTTGAAAACGGAAAAAAAATAGGGGAAAGAGGGAGGGAGGGGGAGGGATACAGGAGAGTGGGGAAAGGGAGGGAGGGAAAGAGAGAGGTGGGGGGAGGTAAGGGGATGGAGGGAAAGAGAGAGAGATGGGAGGGGAAAGAGAGAGAGATAGAGAGAGAAAAGAAAGAAAGAGAGAGAGGGGGGGAAGGAGGAGAGGGAGGGAGGGAAGAGAGAGAGATGGGAGGGGAGGAGAAAGAGAGAGAGAGAAAGAAAGAGAGAGAGAGAGGGGGGGGGGGGGGAGGGAGGAGGGAGGAAAGAAAGTGGGAGGGAGAGAGAAAGAGAGATAGGAAAACAAAACCAGACAGAGAGAAAGAAAGAAGATACAAAATCAGCAAGAGAGAGAGAGAGGAGGAGGGAGAGAGAGAGAGAGATAGGAAGAGAAAACGAGAAAGAGAGAAAGGAAGAAGAGACAAAAATTACGAGAAATCAGAAAGAGAGTAGACACAAAAGCACATTAATCCACTTACCCGCATAGCTTTCGAAAATCATCCTTCTTAAGAACCAAAAAGAATCCCCTCTCGCCTCCAAAAACAACAAACACTCCAATAAATTAATAAAACAATAAAAGAAAAGAATTTAAAAAGAAAAGAACAAAAATCAGGAATCGACTCGGCATCCAACCCCCTTTTCCATTATCTTAGATGCCCTATAAGATTTGCATAAGGGATTTCCTCGTTAGGATTCTCCAGGATATATAGACGATTTAACCCTCCCAGTCCATCCCATCTTATGTAGGATTTGATCATGTCGCCTCCACGATGTATTGTAGTGTATCAGTAGATGTTACTTATTACTTATGATACTCGTGTCTCCGTTGTCACCTCCACGATGTATTGTAGTGTATCAGTAGATGTTACTTATTACTTATATGATACTCGTGTCTCCGTTGTCACCTCAACGATGTATTGTAGTGTATCAGTAATGTTACTTATTACTTATAATACTCGTGTCTCCGTTGTCACCTCCACCAGTATTGTAATGTTACTTATTACTTATAATACTCGTGTCTCCGTTGTCACCTCCACGATGTATTGTAGTGTATCAGTAGATTACTTATTACTTATAATACTCGTGTCTCCGTTGTCACCTCCACGATGTATTGTAGTGTATCAGTAGATGTTTACTTATTACTTATGATACTCGTGTCTCCGTTGTCAGATGTATTGTAGTGTATCAGTAGATGTTACTTATTACTTATGATACTCGTGTCTCCGTTAAGAATATACTTAAGATATCCGTTGTTTTCATAAGTATAAGTGAAGGTTTTGTGTCTCGATTGGATAAGGTTTAGTCGGAATAAAGTAATTATTCTCTTCTTTATTGTTGTTGTTTTTGCTGTTGTCTATTGGTGGGAGGTTTCAATTATTTATTAATTAATTACCGACCTCCAACAATCTCATAACCGAGAGAAAAAAGTAAAATGAAATCTACTTCCTAATCAAAGAAAAGACAGAAAGACAAATATATAAACAGAGAGAGAAAGAAACAAAGAGAGAGAGAGAGAGAGAGAGAGAGAAAGAAAGAGAGATAGTAAGAGCGTGAGAGAGAGAGAGAGAGAAAGAGAGATCGTGAGAGAGTGAGACAGAGACAGAGACAGAGAGAGAGAGAGGAGACACACAACACAAACAGAAACAGAAATACAAACCAAATAAAATAGACAAACAAACAAAAAAAAAGACAGAACCAAAGAGAAGAAACAATTTTTAAACATTAAAAAAAAAACACGAAATACAGGAAAAGGGTTAAAGAAACAAGATGACTGAATGATTTCTTGTAAGAAATGAGAGCTGGTGGATCTTCTCGTCTCGGTTGTTTCTTCATCCACATTCAGGGAGTTCCTTGGTTGCTATTCCAGTTGATGGTGATGGTGATTGGCGGGTGGTGGTGATCCGAGGTGATTGGTGGTGATTGGTGGTGATTGGTGGTGTTTTGGTGTGATTGGCGGGGAATTGGTGATGATTCGAGGTGGTTGATTGATGGCGATCATTGGTGATTTGGAGGTGAATTAGTGGTGATGATGGTGATTGGTGGTGCTTAATGGTGATACGAGTTGATTGGTGGTGAAATCGATGGTTCTTGGATGATATGTAATGATATTAATAGTGATTTGGCTAAACTGTAATAAGCAATTAATCCATCCATCAATTTATCAAATTCTCTCTCTTCCCTTTCTTCTTCCCTTCATCCTATCACGTCAACAAACCACCCACATCAAAAAAGAAAAAGAAAAAAAATCAGATTAAGGCAATCATCACTAAACGGAAGTGAAGTATTTACGTGTGTGTGTGGGTGTTCAAGTCTGTGTTGTGGGTGTGTGTGTGTGTGTGGTGTGTGTGTGTGTGTATGTGAGTGTGCGTGGTGTGTGTGTTGTGTGTGTGTGTGTGTGTGTTGTTCGTGCCTGTGTGTGTATGTGCGTGTGTGTGTTCGTGTCTGTGTGTGTGTGTGTGTGTGTGTGTGTGTGTGTGTGTGTGTGTGTGTGTGTATGTGCGTTGTGTGTGTGTGTGTGTTGTGCGTGTGTGTGTGTATGTGTGTGGGTGTGTGCGTATGTACGTGTGTGAGCTTGTGTGGGTGTGTGTGCGTGTGTATGTGTGTGTGTACGTGTCTGTACCTGCGTATGTATGTGAACGTGTGTATGTGTATAATATATATATATATATATATATATATATATAATATATATATATGTGTGTGTGGTGTGTGGTGTGTGTGTGTGTGTGTGTGTGTGTGTGTGTGGTGTGTTGTGTGTGTGTGTGTGTGTGTGTGCGTGTGTGTGTGTGTGTATGTGCGTGTGTGTGTGTATGTGTGTGGGTGTGTGTGTATGTACGTGTGTGAGCTTGTGTGGGTGTGTGTGTGCGTGTGTATGTGTGTGTGTACGTGTCTGTACCTGCGTATGTATGTGAACGTGTGTATGTGTATTATATATATATATATTATATATATATATATATATATAATATATATATATATATATATATGTGTGTGTGGTGTGTGTGTGTGTGTGTGTGTGTGTGTATGTGTGTGTGTGTTGTGTGTGGGTGTGTGTGATATACAAAAAAAAATAAACCAAATCCCTAAACAGGAATCAAATTCCTTAAAAATCACCAGCTGATATCCACCGCCCCCGTAACACATTTACCAGCGAGTCAATTTCCAACCTTTGATCTTCCAGTCCCGCCCACGATCGAGGACGCCCACAGCAGTCCTGACGTCGAGGTGAGGGAGGGGGAGGAGGCTAGACTGTCGTGTGGGGCTACAGGCACGCCCACGCCCACGATCCTCTGGCGAAGGGAAGATGCACGTCTTATACGGTTACCTGGACAGCAAGGTGAGGGTCGATCTCTTACTCTCTTTCTCTCTTTCTCTCTCTCTATCTCTCTTTCTCTCTCTCTGTCTATGTCTATCTCTTACTCTTTTCTCTCTCTTCTATCTATCTCTCTCTCTCTCTCTCTCTCTCTCTCTCTCTCTCTCTCTCTCTCTCTCTCTCTCTCTCTCTCTCTCTCTCTCTCTCTCTCTCTTCTCTCTCCTCTCTCTCTCTCTCTCTCTTCTCTCTTTCTCTATCTCTCTACTCTTCTCTCTCTCTTCTCTCTCTCTCTCTCTCTCTCTCTCTCTCTCTCTCTCTCTCTCTCTCTCTCTATATATATATAATTATATATATTATATATATTATATATATATATCCCTCTCCCTCTCTCTCTCTCTCTCTCTCTTCTCTCTCTCTCTCTCTCTCTCTCTCTCTCTCTCTCTCTCTCTCTCTCTCTCTCTCTCTCTCTCTCTCTCCTCTCTCTCTCTCTCTCTCTCTTCTCACTCTTTCTATATCTATCTATTTTTATCTTTGTCTCTATCTGTCTATTTATTTATCTATATATTATCTAACTACCTACTTCTGTCTGTCTGTCTAAATCTATCTATGCATATGTATCTATCTATCAATCTATTTATCTCTCTCTCTCATATATATAATATTATATATATATATATATATATATATATATATATATATATATAATTATATATATATATTATATATATATAATATATATACATATATATATACATATATAAAGACTTTGTGCGTCCCTCCCTCTGTTTATCATCCACCCCTCACCCTCATCCACCCCCTCATCCACCTCACCCACCCCCTCTCATTTACTCATCCACCCCTCACACCCTTCTTCCACCCCTCCCACCCACCCCTCATCCACTAACTCACCCCCTTATCCACTCACTCACCCCTTATCCCACCCACCCACCCCCATCCACCCCTCACCCACCTCCCCCACCCCTCACCCACCCTCCCCCCACCCCCTCCCACCCTTCCCCCCCCCGAACACCTCCCCCACCCCCCTCACCCCCTCACCCACCCACTCACCCTACCACTCACCCACCCACGCACCCCCACCCACCCCCTCATACACTTACCACCCTCCCCCACCCTCCCACCCACCCCTCATCCACTCACCACCATCCCCTCACCCTCACCCACCCTCTCACCCACCCTCCACCCCTTCACACACCCCACTCACCCACTCCTCCCCCCACCCCCTCACCCACCCTCCCCCCCACCCCACACCACCCTCCCCCCACCCCCTCACCCACCCTCCCCCCCACCACCCCCCTCCACCCCCACCCACCCCCACCCCGTCAACCCACCCCTCACCCTCCACCACACCACCTTCACCACCCCCTCACCCCACCCACCACACCACACCCCTCACCCACCCTCACCCTTCACCCCCTTCATCCACCCTTCACCCCCTCACCCCTTCACCTACCCCCTCACCCCTCACCCACCCCCTATAACACACCCACCCTCCCACCCACCTTCATACACTCACCCACCCTCCACCCATCCCTTCCCACCCCCCCTTCATCCCCTCCCACCCACCCTCCCACCACCTCTCATCCCCTTCACCCCTTCACCACCCACCCCCTCACCCTTCATCCACCCCTCACACCCCTCACACCCACCCCTTCACACACACCCCACCCCATCACCCACCCCCTTCATCCCCCCGTCATCCACTCATCCACCCCCTTTCTCCCCAGAGCCGATGTGGAAGGGGAGCACCCTCGTCCTTCCCCACGTGAGGAAGGAGGACATCGGAGCATATCTGTGCATCGCCAACAACGGGGTTCCTCCTTCGGTTAGCAAGAGGGTTCGACTCAATGTACGATGTGAGTAGAGGTGAAATTTGCTTGTCGTCTGTGGGGGTTGTGGGTTTGGTTTTTGGGAGTGGTTTGGGGGGGTTCTGGGTGAGTGTGGGTGGGTGTGAGGGTGTGTGGTTGGGTAAGTGTGGTTGGTAAGTGTGTGTGTGTGGGTGTGTGTGTTTATGTGTGTGTTTGTGTGGTTGGGTAAGTGTGTGTGTGTGGGTGTGTGTGTTTGTGTGTTTGTGTTTGTGTGGGTGTGTTTATGTGGGTGTGTTTTGTGTGGGTGGGTTTTGTGTGTGTGTGGGTGTGTTTGTATCTGTGTATATGGTGTGTGTGAGTGGTGTGGTGTGTGTCTGTGTGTGTTGTTGTGTGTGGGTGTGTGTGTGTTGTGTGTGTGTGTCTCTTGTGTGTGCGTGTGTGTGTCTTGTGTGCCGTGTGTGTGTGTTTGTGTGTGGTGTGTGTAGTGGTGGTGTGTCCGGTGTTGTGTGGGTAGTGTGTGGTATGTGTTTTGTGTGTAGAGAAGATTTGGATTAGGGTTATGATCAAGTTAATTATCTCAAAGTGATAATATATTTCTTTAATCATATCTTCACAGATGATAATAAGGATGACGATGATTAAAAATTGATTATTATCTATGATGATTAAAAAATATCAATAATAATTATCATTATTGATATAATCATAATGGTCATTATAACGTTAATGACTATGATGATGAAAAAATTATTACCACCTTAATGAAGTTCATAGAAATAATAACGATTATGAATATTATATATATATATATATATATATTATATATATATATATAATATATATATATATACATAATGAATGAACCATAGAAATAACGATACAAAAAAAGAAAAAAAAAAAAAAAAAAAAAAAAAAAAAAAAAAAAAAAAAAAAAAAAAATATATATATATATATATATATATATATATTATATATATATATATAATATATAATATATATATATATATACATATAAATATATCAACGAACCTCTAACCCCAAAAAAAAGACTTCAATTTTTTTCTCACGCCCTTTTCCTCTACCTGCAGTCGAGCCAGTGGTACGGGCGGCTGTTCCTTCGGTCTCCACGCCCCTCGGAGGCTCCGTGAACTTCTCCTGCGTCGTCGATGGGTGGCCGACGCCCTCCCTGCACTGGATGAGGGACAGCGGTCAGCCGGTGGTCAGCCCGAATAAGGTTTACCAGCTGCAGGATCGGATACGCGAG